CCCGACGGGCAGGACGTCCGGCTCGACTAGGCCGATTCAACCTCAGGACCACAAGTGGCTAGCCGAGGGCACCGCCGAAGAGGACACCCGTAGTCAGCGGGACCGAAGAGAGCAAAGACGCCGACGCCGACGGAACCGCACAGAGCGCCACGCTACGAGGAGACGCTGCAGAATGCAGAGAAACGAATGGACACGGGCACATCGAAGCCCGCACACCGAAGCCACCGAGGGCGCCGACCCCACCAGCTCCCTCCGAGACTCACGTCGAAGGCATCCGAACGAAGCGAGCGCGCGCGGCAGCCCCCCGGGCCCATGGGCGACGTCGCGCCGATGGCCAAGCCCTGCAAGTCCTCGCGCTCGGCGCCCCGCTGCCCAATCGACGCGCGCAGCGGGGTGCTCCGCCCCGGGCGCCCACCGGAGCCGACGCGGCGGGCCCCACCACCGGCCGCTGCGCGAAACCACCTCCGCGCACCCCGGAGGACCGCCCCATAAGCTTCGGCGTTATCATGTTGAGTTGCCTTGTTTTTGTGGTTGACTCTGGAGCAGCGAAGGACGCATTGCCGACGCTTCGCCGCCCATCTACTGCGCGCGCTCGACGCATTCCATGAAGCCCATCCACGGCATCCCGACGTCCGTCATCGTCGTCGTGTCCGCGCTCGTGCTGTTGCACGCCGCCGCGTTGGCCTGGTGGCTCAAGAAGGCCGTCGAGAAGCCCCAGAAGGGCTGGGGCACGCTCGAGGGCAAGAAGAAGACCTAGATGCGGCCCTTCGCCGTCGTCCGCGGCGCGCTCGGCGCGGAGGCGCTCGCGGACCTGCGCCGCGAGGCCGACGCGCTCGCGGCGAAGACGCCGCCGACGGTCGCGAACGGCTGCGTGCTCGAGCCCGTCGTCGCCGCGGCCGGCGACGAATGGCGCGCGGACCGGGCCGCCTACGCGGCCGCGCGGCGCGAGACCTGCGTTTCCGCGCTCTTCGACGCCCTCCCGCGCCTCGCGGCGGCGCACCTCGGCGCTCCCGACCGCGTCTTCCTCTTCAACGACCACTTCGTCGTGAAGCCCGCGCGGAGCGACGTCGCCTTCCGTTGGCACCGCGACGTCGACGAGCAGCTCGCGTCCTTCGCGGGGCCGCGGCGCCGCTACGTGTCCTGCTGGTGCCCCCTGGACGACGTCGACGAGGCCAACGGGTGCCTGGTCGTGCGCTTCCGGGGCGAGGAGCTCCCGCTGCGGTGCGCGGCGGGCGACGTCGTGCTGCTGAGCGACGACTGCGAGCACGCGTCCGGGGCCAACGGGTCGGCGTTCCCCCGGCGGGCCTTGTACGCGCAGTACTCCGACGGCGCCGTCGGCGGAGACCGGCCGCTCCGCCTCGCGATCCCGGTCGACGTCTCGCGGCGAGAGCCGCCGAGGAAGCGGCCGCGGTGCGACCTGCCGGCCTTCGCGCCGGACCTCGACGCCGCGGCCGCGTCCGCGCGGACCGTGCTCGCGGACGTCGACGCGTGGCGCGCCGCGCGCGGCCGCGACGGCGGAACGAGAGCACGCGCGCGCCGTCGAGGCCTGGGACGGCGTGCGGGACGTCGCCGGGCCG